TATGTGAATTGTTATGATTTATGTGATAAATCAAACTTATGCTGTAGATGTGTCATACGCATTTGTTGTATGATTATGTAGAGTTCTAGAATTTTTAGTTACCTGTGATTTTGATTTTTTGTTTTGATGAAGTCTAGTTAGATACAGCAGTCACAAATTGCACCATGGTTTGCTTATCTGTCTCAAAACCGGCAAAGCTTTTCTTTTGCTTCTTAAGTTCTAAAGTTGAGACCAGAATACATCACCTCTTAATGGTATATTTCAGATGACCAAATTCTGAGTGGTGGTTTTGTTATTTAAGTCTAAACAACAGGCAGATTTTGTTTTATAGATTCTGTGGGTCTCAAAATGCAATTTTCCCCATAGTCTGTGTGTTTATTTGCAGGATGGAGATACAATAAAGAAACAAAATATAAGGAAGTGCAGTTCCAGTGAGCACTTCAATGGAAAATCTGGAGAATCGTCATCCAGTGCTCTGGACTCTTCATCTTTATTAGCTCGTATGAGGGCAAGAAACCACCTTGTTTCACCACAACAGACAAGGAATGAGGGCGATGAGAATGATCAGCCAGCACCCGCCCCAGTCCAGGGTTCGACAGAGTACGATGAGCTGCTTGTGGATCTGCGGAACTTCCTGGCGTTCCAGGCCCGCGTGGATGGCGAGGCCAGCACTCAGGAGCTGCTGCAGGAATTTGAGTCCAAACTGCCTGCAGAGCACTCCTGTGTCTTTAGAGAACTGCTCCGCAATATCTGCACCTTCCACAGGAGCCCAAACGGGGAAGGGGTCTGGAGGCTAAAGCCAGAATTCCGATGACCCTTAATCAGTGGAGGCACCTCTCTGTCCAGCTGACCACCATTCTCCTCTCAAAGGAGAAACATTGTGTGACTTTGAAAATTTTGAAATATTTTGTATTCCTGAATTAATTCATGCCTTGAACAGTCAGTGGTGCAGGACTTGTTGCAGGCTTAAAGCCAACTTAATTTCTGATTTACACTATTTATATAACAGTGCCATCTACCTCATAGGTGAAACAATACGAACTATCAGCACCTTTTCTTCAAAAGAAATCTTAATATAAATGGGATGAAGAACATATTATTACTATACCTTACTTACCTTTTATTACTATAACATCCATGGATGTTGCCATGGATTGTAAGACTTTGATTTCTGTGAAATTCTGGAAAACTACGTCCTTGATTTCCTGTTTATTACTTGAATGGTCATAGGGCACACAGTGTGCCATCAAAAAAAAAAAAGAAAAAAAAAGTGCGGAGGGGGATGATGGTAGTTAGCATGAGAGATTCACTTGTACTGACAAGTGCATCAGAATCATTTTCTGTAACTTGCATCAGTAGTGAAAATTCTGTTGTAATGTTTGAGAAAGAATTCTAATGCTATAAAGGTTTAATCACAAAAAATGGAAAGCATAGGAAGATATTAAGTTAAGTGACAGTTGATAATTATGGAAAACTTAGTAAATTCTGGAGCACCCATTAACACCATAATCAGCAATCCAGTTACAATCTCATGCATCACTGGCAAGTGGTTACTCTACAGTATTTCTTAAAACTGAGGCAGCAATAACTGTTATGTTTGTCACAGGTTGTGGGCTTAAAATTGAAATCTCACTAAATGCTCATATGTTTCACTGTGATATATGGCCAGTTATCTCCTACCACTTAAAATTTTATACCTTGATGTAGACTGGGTTGTTAACTGGTCAGAGGGGGAAGGGTGTCACTGTATTTTACTCACCAGAATAATTTTTGGGCAAAGTTGGAGCATATATCGAGGTTACATGTCATTCATCTTCTATGGGTAGGGAAAACTTAAAGTTTCTTGGCAGTTGGGTAAGTTCTAATACCAGTTATTTGTAGCAAATCCAAGTACATTTCGTGTGCTACACAAGAAATTTTAAGGTGGAAAATGTGGACAGATTTTGAGAAGAAAACCACATTGTTGCAGCAATATTAAATTCCTGTATGGCTTAAACTAGGAATAGTTACATATGCCTAATGTCCTTCCTATCCCTAAGCTATGGAAAGCTGAGCTAGTTTTAGCTTTTTTGTTCACTATGAAATTATCTTGTTTACTTTAAGTGGAAATACAAATATTCAAAGATGAATGGTGAAACAAGAATACAAACTTTCGTTTTGTGAAAAACAAAACCTTTTAGAGACTTCCAATGGCTTTTCCTCTTGTTTTTGCTCAGTGGTAAAGGGTCTGTAGAGATCTGCAAGAAGTGGTCCTTCTTGGCTTTTCAGAGGCTGGAATTAGGTAGGGCAGACAATTCAAGAATGTTTATTTTCCTAATAGCATTTGAAGATGGGACTGCTCCTAACATCTCTTTCTCTGATCCCATTTATTTTCACCTACATTCCCTCTTTCAAAAAAATATGAAACAAGGAACTTGGGCTGCAACTGATGTTGATAAGACTTGAAATGGGTCAGAAAAAGAGTAAAACCAATTTTCTGTTTTCTTCAAATCTATATGGAATATTAATTGGTTTGGGTGTCATGTCCCCATCTCTACTTATCCCAGCAACTAACCAGGAATTCAGCAGTCAGCAAAGCTGCTGTTGTCACCTTAGCTGTTAGTTTTGGTGTCCTGTTTTATTATAAAACTCCCAATTTTAAGGATGTTATTCCTGTATACTAAGAAGAGTTTGCAGCGTCTTGATCTGTTCATGTAAATAGACTTGCATGTACTTTTTATAAATTCTTGGTTTATAAATTCTTGGTTTTATGGACTTATTAAAAAAGGAAAAACAAAAGTGTATTCTAGAAGTCATTGGGCACTGGGAAGAGTGGGCAGGGAGGCATCTTCTGTATGCTATGCACTGACCAAATGATTCATATTATCTTTATATTTCCATTATCCATACAATTTCAAATTATGCGTCCTAACTAGCTTTTTTCCAGTACTTGCATTTGTTGAAAATCTTTAAGGACTGAAAAAGTACTAATAGAATACTCAAAAAATATTTGTAAGTAGTTGATCTCAAAAGCATATGTAATTAACGATTTACTGATTTATAGATAAAAGTTTTCCTAAAATATAATACAGCTACTATACATTTTAATGTAGTAGAGTTATTTCAGAAAAATTCTACTTTCTTTCCATAAAATATCTGATTTTTGTTAGTCTAGCTTTACCTGTATAAAGTGAATTCCTTTCACATCTTCACAGAATATCTGAAGCAGTTCCTCACTAACAGTGTTGCATAGTCAAACAAATCTTGTATTCTAGCTGTCTCAGTTTCCAAGTACTCAGTGCTAGAGTTGGTAGTTGCTACTTTATCTGTGCATGATTCCAAAAATCACTCATGTGGAATGCATGTGTTCTTATATTTTGTTTTCTTACCTCAGTAAAAAAAGGGGATAAAAATCAAAATACAGATGTTAATTTAGGAATAAAGCTGGGAGGGAAAAAAAAAAAAAAACCAAAAAAAAAAAAAACAAAAACAAAAAACCACTAAAGAAAAAAACCACTTTCTTACTAAGGAAAGACATGTCAGCATGGAACAGTGATTATAAACTTTAAATTAAAAAAAAACATACCACAGGGAGCTACTGAAAATGTCTTTCCTGTGAAGATACTAAAAGCTGAGCACCATGCTACTGTGGGATGTGACCTACCATTTGACCAGACAAATGCAGTTGAATAAAAATCTAGAAAGCCAAATAGCAGAAACTTTGATTGTTCAGTAAGCAGTTGTGGGAACTGTGTACACTGCTTAATAAAACATGCTGAATTGATACTTTAGCAGCAGAAGTTAAAAACATCATAATTGTTCCTTCTAATTTCAAACCATATTTTTAAAGGGGGAGGTAAAAAAACCTTCTTGTTCATGAAGATGTTTTCGCTTGTCCTCCCATCCCATCCTCCTTTTACATTATTCCAGGTGCTCCTGTGTTCGCCCTTTTGCTGAAGATGCATAGCCAACCAACACATCTCTGTTATAGAACTAAATTTTGACACAGAGAAAAAAAGACTTAGCTAAAGGTTGTAGGCCTTTGACTTTTCTGGACTATAATGACCCACCACATAACAAATGTAAGTTGCTGAATGGATAGATTGATTAGAAATGGTCATTAACTATGGTATTTTAAAACACCTAACTTCTGTCTGTGGCTCAGCCTCCTCTCAGAGCTGCACCATGTGGAAAATTGAGGCTGTTGCAGATAATAAATGTCATCCTCCCAAATAAAGCTATAAAGAAGTGGGGTTTTACATCTGCAAGTTTTGGCTTCAGGTGACAGTCACCTATAGACAGTTGTAGTCCAGTGATAAGGTCAGCTTTGCTTCTGATTCCAAGATTGCTAAACTTGGCTAAATACTACTCTCTTCTACTGCTGCAGTTCTCTGCCTTTCAATAGGCTGTAACAGAAGGGACAAGCTTGATTGTTACTTTCTTTTTCTCCTAAAATAATTTTATTTTTAAAATATGGAACTGGATAGATGAATAATTAAACTGGTGGGATGATATCTAACTTGAATTCCTTTTGCATACTGCTGTGATTCATATGTAAAACCCAGTCATTACAGTTTAAGCAAGTTTTCTCTCTTGAAGGGAGGAGATGTTAAGGAACAGTGGAACAGCTCTATCTCAGTGATTCAGCAAGCAAAAATGATGTAATGCCTCTTGTGCTGCTGGTGGCTATGCCTTCTCAAAAGATACATAAAGATGGTGAAAAATTTAAATATTAAGAGACCTTATAGTAATTTTATCCAAATTTGGAATATTTCCAATGTATGGGCTGAGAAATTTTTCCTAATTTTTTCCTCATGTTTTATATTTGGTGACATAGTCACTGAGGTGATTTGAAATCTGGAGTAATCCACCTGCTTGGTCTTTTAGGAGCAGGAGTGTCTGGAATTTCTGCTATAAACCTCTGGGTAAGTTTAGATGCAACACTAATTCCTGCATTGGTTTCTCCTTCTGATGGATACAGTCTTTAGAGGGAAACAATACATATTTCGGGTCCTTCAAAAATGCTTCAAGAAATGATAGCACAGTACAAAGAAGCCCTGGTGGGAATTACAGGTAATATGGTATTTTATTGTCTAGATCATTAATTCAGCAACTCTTAAGTTACACAAAACTATCATAGAAAATTGCTGAGAGTGCAGTTTTTAAGGGCTTGCATAGGGCACATGTCTAGGAGTCAGGATGTGCTGGCGAGTCTGCACTTGGGAGTTTATCTCCTCTGGGAGAGGTATTTATTTATCTATTAGATACATGGTGAAAACACTCTGCTACTTAGGGCCATTTATAATGTCCATGTTCCAACATTGAGACAAAATGCTGAATATACTAAATGCTTACTAACTCAGTGGCTCTCTCCATCTACCCAGCCCTCACGGGATTGCTATTCTAGGCTCTGGGGTGATGTCACCACACAGTATTGCTGATGTGGTACAGTCCTGTCTGTGCCTTCAGCTGAAATTTAGTAGATGAAGCTTTCCTTAGGAATTCTTAACTTGTTCTGGTGGGCATGGTTTTGCTACCTCTCCTACCACTAAAAGTAAAGAGAAGTCTGACATCTTTCATGCAAGAGCCATTCCTCTTTTCTTTTTTTAAATGGGCCCAAGTTGCCATGGAACTGAGTGAAACACCTCATGTTCTTGCTCCCTGCCTGAAAAACCTGGGGAAGACTGCAGAGGATCATTGTTTCATTCACAGAGCAGAAAAGTAATCTTTTTCCCAGAAAGAATAGACCTGTTGTGAGTCATTAAATTAGGAACTACAGAACACACACAGAAAACATAGGAAGTGTCAGGCAGCTGTGTTAGAAGCAGCTTCCAGCCTGCTCTACCCATGCAATAACCATGTTTTTTCAATATTGCTATGCTATATTCACCACAATAGCATTAAAGACAATGTGGCAGGCCCTACAATAAATAGCCCCGTTCTTACCCATATGCTATACCTGAGAGCCAGATGATTGTGAGCTCTTCAGACTCAACAAGCTGTTTATCCAGTCATTTGAGAGAGAAGGGAAAGCAACGCCAATGCTGAACTCTAGAGAATCCACCTAAAATTTTAAGTTAACTGCCTATCATTGTTCCCTACAGATTCACAGCTTTTCCTGGGCTCCCAAAGCCACACTGCTCACAACACGTAAGTTGAGAGAACCTATTTTTATTGTACAGAACAGGGAGGTGGAAGCTTTGCACTAATTGCAAACCAGGACTTAGAATCATCAGAGGAGCTATGACCAGCTCCTGCATAAGGCTTACATAAGTGGTGAGTCATGCAGTCTTACAAAAGAATAGGGAGAAAGGCTTTCATTATGTTGTTTGCCTAATCAGAAATATGAAAATAAAAGAACACAGCACTCAGTGGGTTACGTTTGGCTAACTGTAGGCTGAAATTTCTGCAGTTGCACTACGATAGAGACATTTTGTTGTTTGTAGTCCCAGCTTATATTAAACAGAGAGGATTTTTTTCATAAATCTTTGCCTCTGGGGCAGAGTTAAGATTCTTTGGGAACCCTAGCTATGTGTTCCCAGACATTAATGTCTGGAAGCAGCACCATGAGAGTAAAAATGAAGGTATATGCCTAGAGAGGATACTGGGAGTAAATGAAGAGACCCAAGGGCAGGGTAGGGTTTGTGAGGATGAGAATGTGAAGAAGCAGTGAAGTGGAAGCAAAGCTTTTTAGGTTGACTGAAAAACAGTGTAGTGATCACTTCTCCTGTCTTACTAGTCTTTTTCCAAGCTCTTAGGCAGGTAGCTGAATGGGTAGTATTTTATCCAGCACTGTTGTTAGACATTAGCTGAGATACCTGCAGCTCTTTCAAGACAACTGGAGAATTTTGAGGATCAAAGTTGGCTGAAGCTCTATGTGCAGCAACAGTGCTCTTTACACTGGTCTGGTTAACCCATCATTTTCCTTCACTAGTCTTTTGCACTTCATGGGGCAAAAATTCGGGACTGCGTGGAGCTGTGGCCTCTTTCTCCCCACCTTATTCTCCTATAGGTCCGCCTGGTTGCTCAATGCAAACCCTGTCTAACATCGTGTGGCTAAGCAGAGGACCCAGCAGACATTTTTATCTGCCCCACAAAATACTTCCCAATACTTTCCTGCCTGGAAGGAGAACACAGCGCAATGTGGCACAAGAAGAACAGGCACTGCTGCACGAACCATCAGGAAGGTCTATTTGCTCCTCTCTAAGTTGCCAGACTGCCTTGAAAAGGACGACTCTGCAGGATCCTTAGGGCTGGGGTTGGTTCGTTTGGGTTGGTTTTCCGTTTTAGTATTTAGTATAAGGTGGAATCCCTTTCATCAACCAGTGGGTGGGAAAAAAGGCAAATTATTGAAAGCTAGTTGACTCTGGGAAACAAGCCTTAAAATAGCTCGTCAGAATGTGTATTCCTGCCCCTATCCCTGAATACTTCTAAGCCCGGCTGTTCTTGCTGCACTGCGCTAGCAGAACTCCGGATTCTGTCCTTAAAGCCTGCTCCCCTTGGGCAGTGGTAGGGCCGGAGTTTGAGCCTGGGGAACTGCAGCCTCCGTCCTGCAGCCCGGCCAAGCCCCGGCACCGGGGCTGCACCAGCGGCGATCCCGCAGGCCGCGGGACGGGAAGGTGCCGGGGATCCCGGGCATTCCGCAGGCAGGGAAGTACAGAAGCTCACGCCCAGGTCCCAGTATACTTTTTATGGCTACGGCAACCACGGGAAACATCACCTGGGCTCAACAATCTCCAAATCAGCCTTTTTCGGCTGAAAAAAAAAAAAAAAAAAAAAAAAAAAAAAAAAAAAAAAAGACGGTCGGTTGAAAGGATAGGGGTTTCGCAAGTGCGGTGTTCTTCGCTGACACCTGGCCCTTTCCCCGGCAGCCCGAGCCCCGAGGCGGCCCGGCGGGCGCTCCGATGCCAAGGAGCGCACGGCGATGCCCCATTGAGCCCTTAAGCGCCGCTGATGGCCCGGGCGCGGCGCGGCCTCCCCTGCCCGGGGCCTTTGGCCCTCGGGGCCGCGCGCCCCGACCGGCGCTCGGCGCTCTCGCCCCTCACGCAGCGCGGTCACGGCCGCGGGGCGCCCCAGGCGGCCCGGCCGAGCCCGCGCCGCCGTCCATGGCGACCCGCCCGCCGTGGCTGTGGCTGTGCCTGGCCGGGCTGCTGAGCCTGAGGGTGGCCCGTGCCCTGCCCCTGCTCCCCGACCCGCGGGACTCGGTGCTGGCCGCGGCCTTGCAGCGCCTTCGGGAGGTCTTCGACATCGAGGAGCCGCCGCCCGACGTGCTGCCCCGCAAGAAGCCGCCCCAGTTCATGGTGGATCTCTTCAACAAGGTGGCCGACGCCAACGGCATCACCCGCGCCCCGGGGCTGCTGCAGGGAGACGTGGTGCGCAGCTTCGAGGACCGAGGTGGGCCCGGGCTGCGGGGCCGAGCCCGCGGAGGATCCCCGCGCGGGCGGGTCAGGCCCGGCGGGGTCTGGCAGTGTTCCTAAGAAGGGTCTTTTACAGTTCACGTGGACCACCACCACTTCTACTTCGACATCAGCGCGATGGAGAAGAACGAGCAGATGCTGAAAGCCGAGTTCAGGGTCTTCAAGCTTAAGAGGACGCATCGGTCCAGAAGGTCCTTCACGCAACACTTCTGCAAAGTAAGTGAGGAAATAGTTAAACACTTAATTCTGCTATCTTTGTTATTAACACTGAAAATTAGTGCAACTAAAAGGAGTGCAACTACGTGTCGCACAAACCTGCTTTGTTGTTATTTTTGTTTTGTCATCCTCACTTTTTCTTTGCCTCCAGCATGCAAAGAAGTAATGTAAAGTTTTGACTTTGGCTTTACACTGACCTTTGTGCTATGGCAGTGAGCTTTTCCGAAAAATGCTAATGTCAGACCTATCCCAAATATACTTTTCTGGGATTTGAGAAGTTTCGAAATTCGAATTGAAATTTATCTGCTGGAGCTGCTCCGAAAAATTGTAATAGCAGCCAGGGATTCATGGGAAAACAAGGCGGCTAAGGAAATTGAGTGTATCTATTCCTCTGGCAAAGGACAGAATTGGACTTTTTGCAGACCTGAAGACAATTATGTGGAGGACCGGAAGACTTTGACGGTATCAGGTGTTCAAAACAGGATAGGGATGGTTAGGATAATTTTCTATAGTATCTATATCTGGTATCCTGCCTCTGAACACATCTAGAAGTAGATGTATGTAGCAATAACTGTTTTTCTATTAAACGGTCCCAAATCTACTTTTTACCTCTTTTAGAATGACTGTAGAGTTTTACAGCTGTGAAGTAGCAGAAATCTGCATAACCTTCATCCTCCTAGTTTGCTGTAAGAACAATCAAATAAATTTCTTCTTGGTTTTGTTGTATATTGTTGTTATTTAGGTGGAAGTGTATGAGCTCTTGGAGAGTGAAAATAAGCCACAGAAAAAACATCTCATTGCATCAAGATTATTGTCCCTCCATACGGAAGGCTGGGAAGTCTTCAATGTCACACAGACAGTAAGCAAAGTCTGACTTAAGTTTTTTTTCTTAAACTTTCGAGATGACACCTTACTACTCCAGCATTGCCATTAAGCTGGGTTTTGAGGTCAGCTCAAACAGAAGGACAACAGCAGAGGGAGAAGCTTTCTCTCTACTCTTAAAAGTACACCTGGTGCTACCTGAATTAAAGAAGTGTTTATGAGCTTCTAGGAGCACAAGCATGGTGACAGCTGAGTAACCCAAACTAGTCGATTAAGGGACGTCAGGCCAAGTACTGATTAAAACCTGGTGTTAGTCTTTAGACTGCCAAAGCAATTGGCATTTGTTGCCTACTAAGACTAGGTTTTAGTTTCTCCTTTTTATTCTGGCAGCATTTCTGTAGAGCAGCATTGCTTCAGGGTTGTGTTTCCGGAGTTTATCTTTGTTGGATAGCCTGTCATTCAACTTCCCCCATAGACTTCTGTGTTTGCGAGCTTCAAGATCGGTTTTGTAGCTATCCATAAATTGTAATAGTAGGTGAATGCCTTTCCGTAGCAAAAGAACCCGCCCGTTCTCTAAAGCTGTACTCGGGAACAGTGTTTTTCGTTGCCTAAGCTTTATGATCAGACTGAACAGCGTGCTTGGATGATTGGTTGAGTTCCATCTTAAGTCATGATATTCTTGCTAGAGAATGACCTGGCCTAATCGATCAGTGTACAATTACAACAATTAGATAAGTAAATTTGCTTGATTGTGAATTTCTTCAAATGCCATGTTTTTTAGATTTACATAAGGCTTAACGGTATGAAAAGTCTGGAGAGTTAATATTACTGTGTTCAGATTGCTATGAAAAATAAATTTCTGCTGAAAGTCAGAGAGAGCTTATTTTAATATTAAAAAATGTTGAGTGTACACTCAAGTGTTCACTGGTAAATTCTCTGAAATTAATTATCTTTCTGTAAATGTAGCCTTGGGGAATGAATATGCTATTTTGTATTTTTAAGTGTTGAATTGCTGGTTTAAATATTCAAGTCAATGGAGTCTCAGCTATGCAGTTATCTCACTTCTGTTATAATATATGTCCTTATGCTCTCATAGCTTGTTGCCTATTCTCTTTTCCTAATAGAAACATTGCTTAATTATAATGCTGTAATTAGAATATTGAAACAATATTTTTTTTCTTTTCCCTATCGTCACCAGGTTTCCAAGTGGGTTGGAAACAGCAGCTCCAACCATGGCTTTTGGATAACTGCAACACATGTTTCCAAGAATGGAATGGAACACGACGTGGTTACATTTGCCAAGAGCCAGGGCACTTTGCAGGAGAGCAGAAATGCTCTCCTTGTTCTCTTCACGAACAGCAACAAGCGGAGGTCTCACAGCTTTGTACCCTTTGCTGCAAGTAAGTGCACTTTTAGAATATGAATTGTCCGTTCATCTTCTGTCACCTCCTGCTACCTCATGTAGACCTAACCTCAGTTATTTACTTGCAGTAATAAACAGGTTTGATGTTCACCTTTGTCAGTGATCGAAATTAGATTTGATAGTTCTAGTAGATCACCAGCATCCTAAATTGCCCCTCTCCTCACAAAAGCTATGTGTGCCAGAAATATTCATTAATCCTAAGGAGAATCAGGTTTATTTAGTTTGTAAAGGGGTGGGAGTTATATATTTTAAGTACTGCTTATATTATTTTTGTGGTGGTGAAATTTGCATGAAAATTGTATGTTATGTTTATACTGAAAAAAATCTCAGTGACCTGGAATGCTATGTCAAAATTCTGGTAAAGTATCTGTAAGTAGAGTCATTAAGTGTGATTTTAAGAGTGAAAGAGGTTGTTAAACAAGCAATTTGAACTTTTTTGTCCTTGGCTTGGTTTTTAAGCACCTATTTAACTTCAGTGACTAATTAGCATTGTGACTAAAGGCTGCTTTCATCAAAGACAACGCCCTCGTGCCTTAAAATACAAAACAGTGTCTTACCTCTCCCACTGGCCTTAGTGTAAAATCAGCTAAGGCTGGATTTTAGGGCCTGATAAATGCAAAGAGCTTGAAGGAGGGGCAAAAATCATGCTGTTCTGGCTTTCCAGGCTTTTCTGGTAAACGGTTGTATTTGCATATTAGAAGATAGATGCGACAATATTAAGAAATAGGTGGTGAAATTGATTAGAAATAGAATTTTAAAATTAAAAATTAGGCCGGTCTGTTTTCCAAATTAAAATGAATAGTGAAATCCTAGATCTAGTTTAATGAGCATCAAGCTCTGCATGGGATACTGTATCAGGATTGAGAAATTTTTTAACAAAGTAACTCTCTAGACCTGCCCGTTGTTAGTGGTCAGGGATCACACATTGTTCTACATATCAGGGAGCTCCAGCTTGTGTACATGGATCTCCATGGATCCCAGTGCATTTCAGAAGATACTTTAAGAAAACATCCTATGGTCAGTACACTTCATTTGTTCAGTGTTCTGTAAACCTGGTGGTGGTTTTTCTTAGGATCAAAAATTTGAAAACTATATTTTTTACAATGTTACTTTGCACATTGCCAGATTTCTGCACATTCTGCTTTGCAAGTGTATGAGTATAGTTCCTGGGAGAATACTGAAGAGAAAAAGGCTATGATCTCCACCCTCTGTTAGCACTGCCCAGAATAATGTGTGTTGTAGGAGTGGCTGTATGGAGACAGTAAATACCATTCTGACTAGATTCAGCCCTGAAGAGGAATTGTGGAGTTCAGAATATTTGGTAGATCATTGCAGGTTTTTTTCCATTTCGGCTGGATTGGTTCTTTTCCAGGACACAAGATTTGGCAGATTTGGAAGCATGGCTGAAATGGCAATTGAATACACACCCCTTCTGGTACATTCACAGGTTAGGTGCCATTTTGAAATCTGCTCTGAAGACTTAGATGTAGATTTGCTTAATAGGCTTTCACACAGAATACTGTACTTTGTAAATGAACTTTGTTTGTGAAATATTAACATACGGCTTCATTTCAGAATCAGAAACTGATGAATCTGATGCTTCACGTGTTTCTCATGGCACTGCTGTCATGGAAAGCAGCAGTGCCAGCATGAGCAGGAGACCCCGAGCTGCCGCAGCCGCTGCTGCCAGAAGCCCCTTAGCAGCATGTCACCGAAGGGAGCTCTATGTAGATTTCCATGCTATTGGCTGGTCAAGATGGATTATTCACCCAGATGGATACAATGCATATTATTGCAGAGGATCCTGCATCTTCCCTTTGGGGGGAAGTCTAAATGCAACAAACCATGCTACAGTTCAGTCCATTGTTTATACACTGAAATTGTCTCAAGATGTCAGCATGCCCTGCTGTGTGCCAGATGAATTGAAGTCCCTCAATCTTCTCTACTTTGATGACAAACTGAATTCTGTCCTTAAAAATTATAAAGACATGGTGGCAACAAGCTGTGGCTGTCATTAGCAAGACTTTTTTTTTTTTTCTCTGCATTTGTGTGTACATGGATTCAGTTCCTCATTTGACACTGAAAACTCCAAAGGAGATGGCATTTCAATTTAGAGGGCAGGAGAGACAGAAACTTATATGTGCTTCAGATCCTTCTCCTCTCACCATGGCTGTGGAAAGGTGGCTGTCTTGTGAAGAGCTGCAGACTTCAAGATCGCCATGGAGAGCTCTTTGAGTGCCTGTACACCAAGGAAAGTATTAAAATCAGGAACATGCTATGTGAAGGAATTGAAACACCTTAAGTTGGCTGTTCAAATTAAGGTCTTGTTCTGTGTACCAAGGCTTAGACTTTCTAGTGATTTAACAAGCATGGCATCCTGCCTCAATCCAGGATGGGATGCAGGTGTCAGTAGCACAGCCCTAATCAGTTTTGGATGCATGATCCTGTGGGGATGTGCAGTCCTACTTGGAGCTTTCAGGGTAAGTATTTGCCCAGAGCTAATTTCAGAGGTTTCTACCACTTGCAGATCATGCATTACCAGGAAATGGACTTCTTCCCCTGAGCTTTATGCAGCTCTACCAAATGCAGAGAACTCCTCATTAAGTCCCCATGGGACTTGCTAGCCAGTCTGAAGGAGCCCATGGGTCAGTATTTGTCTGGGAATCATCATACTTGGCTTCTAACTCAGGTCTGCAACTCTGTATGGTGAGGCAGTGTCTGTCCCTGTAATGGCTGTCAGGGTGTGTGGCACCAGAGATTGCCTTTGTGTATTTGCTGTGCTGTGGGATCCTAAGCTTGGGTCAGAATCCTCATGGTTTAACAAGAAGAAAGAAAGCCACGAAACTTTGGAGGTCCATGAGGATGTGCTAGATGCTGACCTGGTCTGCTGTCTGAGTTTTGAATGTACGTGCTGATTCCCTTCCCTTCTTTAAAGAACAGAAAGGCACAGGCTTGGATGAGGCCCCTTGAGATCTTTCAGTCTTGCTACATTTTCATGCAGGTAACCAGCCCATTGCCCTTCCTCAGTCAATTCATGGAGGTGTATCTTAAGCCTGGTTGGTTTCTTGTTTCCATTAACCCTTGAAGGAGGCTGACTTCTCACAGAATGTGGCATCTCCCATGGCCAAAAACTTCATGGAGCAATTTTTTACTCCAAAGAGACTCAAAAAAAAAAAAAAAAAAAAAAAAAAAAAAGAAAAAAAAAGTTATATTTTTCTTTCTGTAAATACTGATGTCTATAACAAATTTATTTTATTTAAAACCCAAACACTTGAGGTATATTAAATTAATCTGTAATATAAAATCCTAATTTTAAAATAAATGTAATGTAACATTGGTATGGTTTCTGTGTTGTATTTGAATCTTTCCTAGAGTCATGAATCAAATAATTTTCCAGAAGAGAAGGCATTCCCAATGGCTTCAGTCATATCAAGTCCTCTGTGTCAACAGATAAGGAGGATAGACATGTTTCCCTTCAGGGAAGTTATTCCAGTAGTTATTTATTCCTCAAGTGAAAGTGTTTTGGTCTTGGTATATGCTTGCCCCGGTAAAGTGGAAGGTAATTCTGGTAGCAGGGTGGTTCTAACTGCTGCATCAGCCACACCCAGCCATGGGATTCAGTGCCATTGCCAAGGGACCTTGGGAAGCATAGAGGGCCATAAAGGACCTCCCTTTAACTGTTTTATTTTCCAGGCTGCTCTTATGCACTTTTCCCTTTTCACTGCAGAAGTACCTGCGGTGTTTTAACGCTGTGGGAACCACACCCTGGGAGTGGCAAGATGCATCTACATGAGAGTCTGGGCCAGGTTGTTTCTGAATGGTGACTTCAGCAGATGTTTTATCTTTGCTACTTGTGCTAGAGGCCCTAAGAACTGAAGCCAAAAGTTTTTACTGGCAGCATTTGGAGTGGATTGGCAGAGCCAGGATCTGTGTCCAGCATTCATCTTCTGTCCATGCATGACAAATGCTTCCAGCACCATCAGCTTCATCCTTCACTGCTCAACCCAGAGAACTGCCCACTGTTTTTCTAGGATATCTTAATGTGTTTCTTCTTGTTCCAGATGCCGGGAAAAAAAAATTCTACTGAAAAGCTAGTATGATTAATAAATAAATGATGGGCACACTGAATATTAGCTAACATAGTGCTGCCCTACAATAGGTGAAATATGCACAGGCAAGCTAGGAGCACTAGGTAGTTTTGCACACATTAAATTATTTTTTTTTCTGCACCACTCAACTTAGTCTTATTATGCCCCATTAAACCCTGATAATTAAAACAAAATATATTGGAATTGTTTATCCTGGACTTTGTAAGGAAATGAGGTTCATAATAATGCCAAGGGAAAGAATTTACACTACACCACAACTTGTAATTAGAATAACAATTAAGCACAAGTAGGCTCTTTCTTTTTGTTGCCTTTTGTTTTGTTTTGTTTTGCTTTAAAATAAAGGTGCATTTTCTTCTCATTCATTAACTGAAGCATGCATAAATTCCAAAATAAGAAGAAAATCCTAGTCATGATAGAACTGAAGGGTTACGCTCAGCCCCATGACAAAGCACTTGGTCCAGGTTTGAAACTGAAGTGGTCCTGGCATGTGAGATATATGCAGTCACACTCTGCTCCTTAAGGTGGGGAGAGCACTAAGCCTTGTCCTGACAATTTGGCAGTGGGGTCTCAGTATGTCCTGGTTGAGAGCCAACCATAAAGAGCACAAATTCACAGGAGTCGTCTCCTGTTTGTAGGAATGTTTGTTTTAAGGGGTTGCTGTGATACTCCTTTCACAAGATATAGGTGATGGGCAGGTGCTTCTTGGCACTGAAACAGGGGAAAGGATATGCTGGGGGTGTCTGGAACAGGTAAGGCAGAAGGGATGGGCTTGGGGAATTGATCTGGGGTGGTTTCCTTTTTTTGGGGGGTGGGTATAGGGATGGGGTGAGCTGGGGAGGAAGAGAAGAGAAAACATCTCTGTGCCTGCGCTGAGGAAGCTGAAGCACAGCTTCAGCTCTCTTCTATCCACTCTGCAGGCTTGAAAGTGTTCTTTGGTATGAGGCAATCTTTTAGGAATGCTCGGTGTTTCTTCCAGACTGCCAAGGGTAATTACTATGGTTCCTGTTCTTCGTGTAGGAAATGGGGCAATTATTTGAAAGAGGTATGGAGGATAGTATTTATTCATAGTCCTGGAGCTTGTCTCCGGGAAAGATGAGTGACTGCGTGTCTGTGGTAAATTCCAGGGCTTTCCTAAAGATAGCAAACCCTCCAGACTACTACCAGTCCCTTTCAGATTGCACATGCAAATGCGTGTATACATGTGGATTAATTCTTATGTACACCCACGTGCACATGCGTTCATGTTCAGAGGCAGCTTCGCCCCAGGTTCATCCAAAAGGATGGTGCAATTTACCAGAATTGGGATGAAGTGCTTGGGCTAATGTGAGAGCATTGCCACATCCAGAGCGTGCATTTCAATGGCTTTGTGCAAAAATATGTCACACCTAGGCCACTTCTCTGCTGGCCTGGAGTGCCGCTCACTTCCAAGGAGAGTAGTTAGTAGGTGTGAATTTGCCTTACCTTTGGTGAATGAGACAATTGTGCATTAAAGCAGCTAGTAAAGTGTTTTATTTCTTCCCATTGGGTTTATTGCTAGAAGCCATTCACAGAATAAGGGGGACTGTTAACTTTCTGTTGTCACAGAATCTGTGCAGTTTTAGATTCTTGCATATACTAACTGCCCTTATTCAGAGCTAGATCATGGCCTGCCTTATCGTGGAAAACAAAAATTGCAGATTTCCCCTGAGAAAGTGACCTGATAGTGAGAAGTGACTAAACTTCAACTGAAACCACAATTTGGTGATGCTGTAAATTCAGGCCTTGTGACACAAAACCACATTATGGCATAACCCCACTATGCTGGTTCAGATCTGCTCACAGAAACCTTGCTTGATTAACCATCAGGTTACATGGTATTGTCAGGCTGCACAAAACTGGTATGTGTATTTAAAAATCTGTGTAGACTTTCTGCTGTGATCCACATTGTAATCAACTCTTCATCTGCATCATATTTTCTGATAAATGCACTGAGCCAGTGTTTGTGGCCAAGCAACTGTGTCCTAAAAAGCCATAGACTCAAAGACCTTCCCTTGGAAGTGTTTATTCACAACTCTTTGTTAGAAGATTTGTTTTATCTGGGAAGGAGCACCTTTGTATGATATCTTCACTAAAAACACAGATAATCCCCCTGAAAACCTGTGCTGTTTTTCCTCATCCTGACACAGACCCTGCCTATGCTAAGCATAGGTTTGGTAAAGGCACAGTTCCAGGCAGAGAGTGGCTGATACTGAGGAAGTCGGGCAGACTAATCTTGTGTGCCACTAGAGATGCCACAAGGTACCTTCTTGTTTTCCATTTAGAGGGAAGACAAGAGGGAATTATGAGCTGTTCACAGGGTGTTCACAGGCCAGCTCTGAAGGCAAACATACAGCACTAAGAGAACTATATGGAGAGCAGTGGTGAAGGTCTGTGTGTACCTACATTAAGCTTTTTGCGACCTGGGTTGAATGAGTACAACACTTGCCAGGACATAAACAAGAGAAGAAATCATGGGATCAGGCCTGGCATACTGATCTCAGTGGTATGTAATTTAAGCTGATATCCCTTTCTGTCTCATGCACTTCCTTTGCTATGTCATGATATTTCTATCCAATTCAATTGATTGCTTAGCCCTTGTCTAGGTTCTGATTAGAGAATTTCCTCTCTGATGTTCCTTTATCCAATGGTCATGTAATTTCTGTTAACAACAGCTTTCAAATGAGAAGAAAATATATACCAGTATATGCACACCAGTATATGAAGTGTCCATTAAAGGCAGAGGGAAGAGAGAGAAAGAAAGCTTACTATAAATGGGACCAGGAAGGTAGAAGTTCAATTACCAGAATTCATTTTCTTTGTACAAAATAAACCTGTTGTAGCTACCGTAACAAGCACATACAGTTGGATCTAATTGCTGCTTTCCAGCTTGA